AAAAAATCACAACTATAATTCTATAATGAAAAAAATCTATAAAGGACTTTAAATCATATATCGTGTTCAGACAGAAACTGACCAGTGTTGGTCAAATGATGGAAAGAAGGGCGATCAATACATGATTCAGTTAGAAATGGATGAAAAAAATTAGAATTGTACTACACTGATTTTTTTTTTTTGTCATGTCTTTATGGGTAGTGTACATTCTAGCAATACATGATATTTGCCAATCAAAAATCCATTTTCTGTCTGGTACCAGCTAGTGTAACAGCCTTATATATCCTACATATAAATATACTCAAACACACCTATTCCCTTACGATATTAAGTACAACAAAAAATGTAAGATCACACTACTTCAGGGTAAAATGATGATCTTACAGCAACAGAATAATGTAATGATAAATATTTAAACATTGTAACAAAGATTTAACTGAAGCAATAAATAATAAATGTTAAATAAAATAACAACAAAACAACTTTAGGAACTGATTAAACCATGTAATACAGTTGTATGCAAAATGCATATTTAGCTTATTTTAATACAAATGCAAATAAATATGAAATACTTAGGTAACAATAAATGTTTACAAGGAATTAATGAGGATATAACATTTTTTAATTGTATTAAATGCTTGGGTATCTTCAACAACCAGCTTATCATGTGTAAATAAAGTGATAGAAACATACTTATTACTTTTCTTCTTTTAAAGAAAAAGAGAGGCTATAAGTAGTATGGCATCTCTAAAAGGTGAGAAAAGTACATGGGATACATAGTTGGCAAGTGGACAGACTGTCACACATTAATACACTTAATCAAGACCTGATCTAAAGTGATAACTCTTACAATCACTCTTCCAACTACCTGAAGTGTGGCTATGATAAAAAGATAATTGACTTCTGCTAAAAAACATAATAAAATATTGACACAATTTACATTACAATACACGTATTTCTTTCCATTCCTCCCTTAGGCTCTATACATAGACGCTACATTGTATTACTCATAAATGTGTTGTTTTAACTAACAATTTGGTAAGGCTTTTGCCTTTAGGGCAATAATCTGTGAGTATTACATTTTTTGTTCTTTGACTGGCTTTGTGGGGGGGAAAATCTTATTTTTTTCTGTTTAAGGGCTAGCGTTAACATCTTAATGGTAGTATTCTTTAAGAACAATAAATAAATCTAAACAGGGCTCACATTTGATATTAAGAATTGTTAATCAGCATCAGGACTCCAGACTGCGACCATTTTTTTTCTGCCGGTCGCACTGGTGCATTTGAGAAACATCAAACGGCAGACGAAACGGCGCTACTCGTTTGAGCTGCGCAGCTCGGACCAATAATTGAGCGCAGCACAAATAAACTTGTCCGAGCTCAGAACAAGTTTACTCGGGAACCAGAGTTGATCTCACGACACTGTTACTGCACAGCGCTGCGAGATCCAATGAGAAGCGTTTATTATAAACAGATCAAACAGCGCTGACATAGAAAATCAGAAGTAGTAACGCTAACTATAACCAAGGTGTTGTGGCAGACACAGTCGAATGTTATTACATTATTAATTTCAGGGTTTGTACAACCTTTTGAGAGAAGTTCAAGCACTTTTCAATGACTTTCAAGTATTTCACACAACTATTTACAGCACTTTAAAGCTATAAAAATGATCCAATTTCAATTTTATTTTTAATGGGATAACCAAAATTTACTTTTGAGGTAAACAAACTCTTATTAAAATTCAAAAGATATCAAATTACCAATGTAACCAGTAGATGGCAGAAGAGGATCACTTTTCAGCTTATTAGTCATTCATTTCCACTCTTTTGCGTTATATTTTGAGATTATAAAATCACTGCTATAAAATATATCACTAAGAAATCAAATTTTGTCAGAGTTTTGCAGTGTGTGTGTGTGTGTGTGTGTGAAGAAAAAGTCACAAAGTGCCTTGAAAAACAAACTTTTCTTCAATTTGCAACTGAATCACAAAGCCCCCAGCGCTACCACATCTGCTTCTGGCGCCACCATCTGTAGAACTCAGTGGAGCTGGTGCCACTGCAATCAATTGTTAGTCTGGAGCCCGGAGCATGTATCATTATTATGCATTAATTTATTATGTTTCCTCTATTAAAGGGTTAGTTCATCCAAAAATGAAAATTAGCCCATAAATTACTCACCCTCAAGTCATCCTAGGTGTATATGACTTTCTTCTTTCAGACGAATCCAGTCGGAGTTATATTAAAAATGGTCTTTGGTCTTTCAAGCTGTTTCATGGCACTCAGCGGGTGTTGCATGCATCAGTCCAAAAGAAGTTAAATAAAAAGCGCCCATCCATTAAAAAAAAGTGTCTCACACGACTCAGGGGGCTGAACAAAGGCCTTCTGTAGCTTGAAAGATCAAAGACCATTTTTAATATAACTCCGACTGGATTCGTGTGAAAGAAGAAAGTCATAAACACCTAGGATGCCTTGAGGGGGAGTAATTTATGGGCTAATTTTCATTTTTGGGTGAACTAACCCTTTAAGAGTTAAGATAAATTATCAATTGGATTTGTCATGTAACCATCAGAGTCCACAGACTCATCACTCACGTTAACCTTTCAACACATGGACAGTAATGTCCAACATGCAGTAATTTAAATACTCCTTAAAATAAAATACTCATACTCCTAGCAGGACCCTTTTTTCACCTTCTGATACTGAATGCACTTTTTACATGAACAAAATCACATCTCCACACTTGCTCTAAGTGAACACCAACAACACAATATATATCAGAGACAGAATAATTCTACAGAGCATCTGTTGAGGTGAGCAATAGCCTACTGTTAGGGCACAGTACAATATTCGCCAAATCACAGAAATTTCATCTATTGCCAGCCAAGGATCATTTCAATATGAACAAGAGTTTCCTCTAAGCATTTCATTAAAACAAATGTCTTTGATACATTTGTGAGTTTGTTGAAGGTGTTCATTTAAAAAAAAGTGTCTCACACGGCTCCGAGGGGTGAACAAAGGCCTTGTGTAGCGAATCGATGCGTTTTTGTAGCATTTCAATATGAACAAGAGTTTCCTCTAAGCATTTCATTAAAACAAATGTCTTTGATACATTTGTGAGTTTGTTGAAGGTGTTCATTTTCAGGGGTCCAAGTTACAAGAGGAGATTTAATATGAATGAGAGAGAAAAGAAAAAGCTCTCATAACACCACAAGTCAATGCCTACATGAGCATAAGATGTATTCAGTCAGATATCTCAGTTCTTCTCATGAAAATCGCAACACTTCTCTTCTCAAAGTGCATATGAAAATTAGTTTAATGGCAAAACTTAGTGACTATATTCCATATGCAAGGATGAAGAGTTCCCTTTACACTCAAACCTTCTGTATGTTGATCCCATGACTAATTTAACACAAAGAGCCCTATCTCGTTGAAACTTAGCCAACGCCCCTCGACACACCTTCTTGTGCCGTGTGAGGAGCATTGCATTCCAGAAACGACAGGGACAATGTTTACAAGAAAATGCTCTGTTGGCTAAATGGGAGCTTCTGTGAATGAGAGCTGAGAGGAACTTGCGAGACTGTTTTCCACAAACTGGACATTTCAAACGATGCTGAAGGCCTCTCACTTTGGGACAATGTCTAGCTGCTATATGAACTTTAAGGGCTACCTGTTGAGAGAAGGTAGCACCAAGGCAAAGGGGGCAGGACTTTCGTTTCAGAGGAACTTTGAGGGACCGAAGCCTGTTAAGCTTAAGTCCACCTGGAAGGCCCAGTTCATACACAGCACTTCCTCCACTTCCACGTCTGATTCTCACGAGCACAGCCATGCGCTTCTTAATTTTATGTTGCGTCCTGTGAATTGCTTGCCTTTTTCTCTTAACAAGTTTTCTTCTCTCATTTCTCTGCCTTTCCCCAAGGGAGACCTCCACCTGTTCTCTCTCTACTTTTTGCGCCGGGGTCCATTTGTAGCCTATCTCCTCTCTCTCTTTCCGTCTTTTTTTTTTCTTCTTCCGTCTCCTCAACTCCTCTTGGCTTTGAAAAGTGTGGTGTTGTGTAGAATGAATCTCAGCTGAATGCTGCTGGGAATTGTGGTGTTGCTGATGTGGCTCTGATGGAGGCAACACGAGAGAATGCACAGGTATGTTTGGAGTAAGAGTATGCCCATGACCAGTGTGATAAATGGGTTCACCCTTTATCCCAGTATGTTGTTGCTGATGGTTACAAAGAAGAGGCCCTGAGGAAGTTGACGGCAGAGAATGAGAATAAGAGGAGGCATTAGATAAAGAAGGGTGTGCAACATTGGTATCGGGTATATAGAACAGAGGGGAGTAGCCAGCTTGTGTTTGGGGAGGAGCCTGCTGGCTATGAAGAACTCCATGTTGTTCGGCATGTGTGCCACTAGGTGGCGCAAGCTGAAGCAAAGCATTTGTAGCAGCTTCACTTTCCAATATCGAACCACCAACACTGTTATCTTCCCCTGTGCTCCTTTGAGCAACTGGCTGGCCAGTCCGTGTTAAGCCATGCTGTGAAAGCCTGTGTCGTGTAAGGCTGTTAGAGTATGCAAAAGCCTTACCACAGACTTCACAAGAAAACAGCTTTTCTCCACCACCCTCGTGAACAGTTTGGTGATGTGCCGTCAAGTGAAAGTGATGGCGGAACGATTTCCAGCATATAGCACATGTGTACAGTCTAGGAGGTGGCTGAGTGGTTGATGTCTGTGGTTTGACATCTTGAGTGTATGAATAGAACAAAGAAGAGCTGCTTTGACCCCCTTGAATCAAGCTGCCACCAGAGGATGGATAGCTGTTAAGGTTTTCCCCAACTGGCGTTGTTGGCACTTCTTCAATTTCTCCTTTCTGGTGTAGCTTGCCATGTCTTTTAAGGCTCTGAGCATATCCAAAGTCCTTTCCACATAGAATACATTTGTAGTTCTTCTCTCCAGAATGCACTGTGTGGTGCTTGCTAAGATGAAATGCCTCTCTGAAGTACTTGCCACACACAGTACAATGGTGAGGCTTTTCTCCAGTGTGTATTCTGTCATGCCTCCGCAAGGTCTCTCTTCTTGCAAATCCTCGACCACAGACGCTGCACAAATACGGTCTAACATCACCAACGGGAACTCCTGGTCTGTGAGAGGACTGCCTTCTTTTAGGAGGCTCAGCACCAACCACCCCAGGTTCCTTCTTCTTGCGGGGCTTACGAGGGCGCTTGGGCTTTCCACCAGGTGTCTGCTGATCTGGTTGCTGGTTGAGGGCCACTGCACTTGGGTCAGTACTTCCTCTATAGGACTTTTCCAGGCCAGATGTTAATAACGGACCACTAGGTGAGGCAAGAGGCCCTAGACCCAGACCTCCAAGCAATCCACCAATGATATCCCTTCGATCATCCCCTCTACCTCCACTATGGGCAAGATCACCACTCATACAATTTGCAGTTGCAGCAGTGATAGCAGAAATGGCACTGTTGACAGAGCTAGTGACATCATCTTCAGAATCCTCTAACAGGGATGAAAGTGGGAGATGTGGCTGTTGATGATGATGCTGGCTTTGGTTTTGTGGGTGTGGATGCAGAGTAGGAGCTAATGGTGTCTTCCTAAGTGCAGGCCCTGTCATGCTGCCACCACCACATAGGGTTGTTCCAGAATACAAGTTACTTTGAGAGCGCTGGTCCTTGTAGTCATCACTGAAATCATCACTCCGGTAAGAACCTGCATAACAGACTAAACAGTAATAATGCTATGCACACAAATTTCACAGTGCCTATGAAAAATTGTGACTTTTGAGTGGGTTTACTAAAAATATACACTACACTAGACGTTACTCACCCGCTGCATTAGTTGCTATTCCATCTTGGGAGCCCCCAGCTTTATTGCTCCTGCTTTCTATATTACTTTCATGCTTAGGTCTTGGTGTACGGCCTGACTTGCCACAGGTGCCCGAGGCTGCATGGTTCAAAAGGGATGTACTTTCCCGAAAACAGCGACCACAAGCTGGACAGCGGAATGGTTTCTCTTCATGTATTTTTTCATGGCGGGTGAGTGACTCACGACGATTGAAAGCACGACTACAAGTAGTGCAGGCATAGGGCCTTGCGCCAGAGTGGATGACACCATGTTGAAGAAGGTGCCCCTTTTTCTTGAAACATTTTCCACACTCAGAACAATGAAAAGTCTTGTCAGGACTACCACACGAAGATGAGGCTGCGCTCTCTTGAGTAGAGTGGGGAATACTTGGATCGGAAGGATGCAGAACTGGGTTTAAAATGTTACTTCTCGTGCCACTTGTGCCAGCTGTGGTTAACTCATGACTACGTAGGTGCCTGCGCAGACTAGAGAGATGTGTGAAAGTTTTGCCACACTCACCACACTGATAAAGGACTTCTTGTTCAGGATGAGAATGAGGTGGCATGGAACCATGGCTGTCTGTTTTGGAGACATTTGTCACCAAGACTGATGCTGATGTAGAAGAGGATGCAGAAGAAGATGATGAGACAACAGAAGTAGAGGATGATGAGGTTAGGTGAGAAGAAGGGTCTCTGCCAATACCTGACAAACTAACACCCCCACCACCATCCAAGCCTGGTGTGTTATCTTGGTTGAGTCCCCCTGAAGTGCTACTGTTGGGGTTTGTAGAGCTGTGACTGCTGCTGCTATTGTTGTTGCTGCTTTCAGACTTTCTCTGTGGCAGGTAGCCAGTCATGGCTGTCTTTCTCCTACCACCCCCTATACCACCACTTCCTCCGACAGCACTATCCCCTTTACCCTCCTCTTTTGATAAAGACAGATGTAGAGGAAGTGGAATTGGCAAACCAGCTTCCTGCTGCATTAGAGATGCTAGCTGGTTGGAGGAGAGTACTGGAATTCCTTGAAAGTCAAAACCTCCGAACGAAGAAGGTTGCGATGAGGAGTGCAGTGGATGGTGTGGATGTGGGTGAGGGTGAGACAAAGTGTGAGGTGGCAGTTGCTGCTGTTGTGATGGTGGCTGTTGAGGCTGTGATAGAGTAGTTGAGTGACCATGAGTGTGTGAAGAATGAAGAGCGGGGGGTGGTGCAAGGGCTGAACTTGTTTCTCCTGCAGCTTGGCCCAGACCAAGACCAAGATGGTTATGACTGCCTTGCTGAACTAAAAATTGTTCCCCGAGGCTGCATGGTTCAAAAGGGATGTACTTTCCCGAAAACAACGACCACAGGCTGGACAGCGGAAAGGTTTGTCTTCATGTATTTTTTCATGGCGGGTGAGTGACTCACGACGATTGAAAGCACGACTACAAGTAGTGCAGGCATAGGGCCGTGCGCCAGAGTGGATGACACCATGTTGAAGTAGGTGCCCCTTTTTCTTGAAACATTTTCCACACTCAGAACAATGAAAAGTCTTGTCAGGACTGCCGCACGAAGATGAGGCTGCATCCTCTTGAGTAGAGTGGGGAATACTTGGATCAGAAGGATGCAGAACTGGGTTTATAATGCTACTTCTCATGCCGCTTGTGCCAGCTGTAGTTAATTCATGGCTACGTAGGTGCCTGCGCAGACTAGAGAGATGTGTGAAAGTTTTGCCACACTCGCCGCAATGATAAAGGGGTTCTTGTTCAGGCTGAGACTGAGGTGGCATGGAACCATGGCTGTCTGTTTTAGAGCCATTTGTCACCAAAACTGATGCTGATGTAGAAGAGGGTGCAGAAGAAGATGATGAGACAACAGAAGTAGAGGATGATGAGGTTAGGTGAGAAGAAGGGTCTCTGCCAATACCTGACAAACTAACACCCCCACCACCATCCAAGCCTGGTGTGTTATCTTGGTTGAGTCCCCCTGAAGTGCTACTGTTGGGGTTTGTAGAGCTGTGACCGCTGCTGCTATTGTTGTTGCTGCTTTCAGACTTTCTCTGTGGCAGGTAGCCAACCATGGCTTTCTTTCTCCTACCACCTCCTCCGACAGCACTATCCCCCTTTCCATCCTCTTTTGATAAAGAAAGATGTAGAGGAAGCGGAAGTGGCAAACCGGCTTCCTGCTGCATCAGAGATGCAAGCTGGTTGGAGGAGAGTACTGGGATTCCTTGAAAGTCAAAACCTCCAAGCGAAGAAGGTTGCGATGAGGAGTGCAGTGGATGGTGTGGATGTGGGTGAGGGTGAGACAAAGTGTGAGGTGGCAGTTGCTGCTGTTGTGATGGTGGCTGTTGAGGCTGTGATAGAGTAGTTGAGTGACCATGAGTGTGTGAAGAATGAAGAGCGGGGGGTGGTGCAAGGGCTGAACTTGTTTCTCCTGCAGCTTGGCCCAGACCAAGACCAAGATGGTTATGACTGCCTTGCTGAACTAAAAATTGTTCTAGACTGGAATTGGCTGGTACTCCAGAAAGAAAATACTGATTTGCAGCCAACATACAGCTAAACTGTTGATGTAGGCTTCGGGCGTCAGACTGAGATCCTGCTAACTGATGACTAAAGGTAGTTACTGCACTACTGCTGGGAGGGTTATTGGAAGTTGAAACAGAACTTGAAGGAGATGGAGAGGAAGACGATGGACCAGGGGAGGCCTGAGGTACTGACAGGCCAGGATGCAATGGGGGTGGTGGTGGTGGAATAGATGAAACCAGTCCTCCAATTGCCCCTGCAGTTCCTCCACTTCCACTACTGCTGGCAAAATGATCAAATCGCCCTACTCCTGAATGTAACTGCTCTTGTGCAAGGGTTGCCTCAGTAGGGTGAAACGAGCGCAAAAACTGGGGGTATCCACTCACATGACTTCCACCACCGCTGCTGCTTCCAGACATTTTGCTGGATTTCCTCAAACTTTGAGAGGATGAAGAGAGGGATTGCTGCGCCAGAGGTGGGGGAGGTGCACTCATTTTTGCAAAAACTGATGCAGAATCTGTAAAGGGACTGCCTCTAGATGCTTGTAGCGGGCCTAAGCCAAGTCCAGACAAAATTGACCCAGATGTCTCACCTTGCTGCTGCTGTAATTGGTGTTGGTGAAGCTGCACTTGGTGTTGGTGTTGGTGTTGAAGTTGTCGCTCTAATCCAAGACCTTTGAACTGATGGGATTGGTGTCCACTCAGCATCTCTATGATGTCCACATTGTATTTTCCAAACTGGAACATCTCCCAGTTACTGAAAAATGGGTGCGCAGTGGCAACACCTTCTGCTCTTTGAGCAGCAACAATATTTCTATGATGCTTTTCTACTGAGTTGTGGCCAGAAGCATTTTCAAAAATAGTGCTACCTCACATTTTCCTTGTGCTTCTGGTGTTGTTTCATTTAAAGTGGGCACCCACATTCTCACTCTTCGGGCAAGTAGTCAATGAGCACATTTTGTATTGATTGTAACATGAATTTGTAATTTCTGCAAAAAGCTGTTTTTCAATGGGATTTGTCACTAACGAGATGACCAAAGTCGACTCCCTTTTGGCTTCCATATAATCACAGTTATTTGAGTTCAAATTTGATATCAATATTTCAGTCTGAATGTTCCATAAGAGTGCAAAGACATATGGACTGGTAAAAGAATGCCACAACTGCAATAATGTTTTCACGTTTTGGGAAGTGCACTAAAAGTGCTTAATGTTGTCAGAGTTCATTGAAAAATTTCCACTTGCTTGGTTACATTTTTTAGTTCATGACCATCCAACAGTAGGATGGATCCCTCCAAATCCCATGGGCTGGTTTCATTACATCCAATATCTATTAATTCTTAATCCACTCTAGCAAAAGTGGCTTACATCTCTGTTTCCAAGTTTCAATTAATTTTTTTTTCTTCTTTTTTTTCCATAGCTGGAAGCAAAATCCTCAACTACCATTCTTGGGGGCTGTGAAAATGTTCTTTCTGCCACTCCTCTTCTCACTGTGAGAGGAAAAAAGGTTGTAAAATGTTAAATGATTGATTTTAACAAAATTCTGGTACAATTCTTCTAAAAAACATAAACCATCAAAACCATAAAGACAAAACATTTTTTAAAAAATGAAAAACAACAACAACAGACTGTTTATTACAGCAGGCATTTTAATGTTTGTTTGTTTAATACACAGAAAATGTAACTTGTATGTGAATAGTTATGGGAGTACTGGCACATCTCCGAAAAAGTTCCAAGTGCATCACTTGAACATCTCATGGCATTTCCATGACTTCATTTTTGCTCATTTGTATTCTTAAATAGCTAAATGAAATAACTCACAATAAAAAAAAAAAACTTTTAAAAACCTGAGTTTCTATTATTTCTAGTGATCCATATATATCTAAACTTAAAACAAATTATAACTGACATTCATAATTCACCTTGAAATACTACATCGTATTTAATAAATTTATAACATCAGTTCATCTTATCAACATCATTTAAATTACAAAAATGAACAGACATATTCAACTGATACTCGCTGTAGAGTGCACTGATGCATTTAACGACTGTTATTTTACAATCACAACACGATACTAAACAAAAGTAGTGTGAAATACGTTCTCAGACGATTTGCGAAATGAAAACAGTAAGATAATACACATTTCCAAATATTTACATATTTTTCTTATATTTAAACGTCGCGAGTGTTTTCTATCACTTTATCTTACACTCTGAACTGTTGGCATTGCGCTGAAAAGATGCTGAGTGCGGGGTGAATCGTCAGGGGTAACGTTAGAGGTGAATTTCATGTAACTAATTATTACATCTTCCGATTGCACCGCGTCTCACTAAAGAAAAGAAAATGTCCATTTCAACAGACTCCGGGGAGTAATAGAAGAAACAAAACCCGTCTACGATGGGGAAAATGCACTTCGATTTTCAACAGTGCTTTAAAAACGCTCTTCAGAGTACTAATGGACTAAAAATATTTTAGCGCTGGGGCTGTGTAACATGTTAGCACGCAAAACAGCTGGCTAATACTACAAATTCAGCAAAGGGACACAGCACAGCTTGCCGTCATGATGCGCGACCTAACAACAGCAAGCCAGATAATGCAGGATCAAAACTGTCTTATTGTGCAAGTAGATTAATCATAATGAAATCACAGTCGAGACAATAAAATAGGCCTTTTTACCTACGCATCCATCTTTTAGCCTGGTCAAGATGAACAGGGCCTGCTACACTCTCTCCCACCCTGCCCCCCTCGTTCATGTGCCCCAGCAGCTCTGCGCTGTTTTCCAGTGGTTAGCCTTCTAGCTACAGCTAGTTAGCAGACTCTGTTTCCACTGCAACCGAATGTCTCTTACACTGTAGAACAGATGCACTTATTGTACTTATATCCTGTGAAAAATGCATCAAACTGTATTACGACCGATTACTTTTTATTTTGCGTTTTTTTTTTTTGTCTGCTAAAATATTTTGGACGGTCTATGTTGGTGTTTTAGAAAGAACGAATGACGTGTGAGATTTTAACATTGGTCGTTTCCGGACCTTGGAACACTTCCGGCTACCCCGTTATCTGTCCGTTATGTTTATTTATTTATTTGTGGTCGAGACAGCGTTCGTGTGAAACCGCTGTACTCCAAATATTGTCTTTAATTATAGAGTTACTAATGACGATAGGGTTCGTTTGCTTTTTAGCTGTATTGTGTATGCCGATAGCTTTCAAGTGTTTTCAGCGTTGTTGTTGTTGTGCAGTCAAATTTGACATGTTAGCGGGCTCGCAATAGGTAGCCTAATTCTTACGTGATTCCGAATTACAACTCGCCGAATATAATTCTGATATAATATACTAAATGTGCTATTCATTTATTGTAGGATTCTTTTAGCATTATGTTTGTATCTTAGAAGCTCTTATAGTGGCCATTTTATTACATACTGACAGCTCAAATTCAAAGGCAGGTCCTTATCAAAATGGCTGCCTTGGAATTGCTAGTCTTTATTTCCAGTCTGATGCTTCATGGAAGATAAGATTGTAAACATTGTGTAGTAAATGCCGACATTGTGAATAATTAAACATTTTCTGTCTCCTTACATGTGTGTCACCAGACATTCGAGGCAACAGTTTCATCATTTGATTTTATTTTACAAAGGTGAAATTTAACCTGTATGGAATGATGCTATATATGTGTGTGTGTGTGTGTTCTTTGAGAGCATTTGTTATGAAAGTAAAATATTCTACTGCTTCTGTGCTTAGAAATTGCAAGACGTGAGCTCATTGCTGTATTCCCAGGGTTTCAATCTTCATTGTCCTGCTTTGCTTGTGTGCAGCCAATGCACATCCCATTGTAGGCTATCAACCTTTTAAAATGCTTCAGGGCTTTATTTGCACATCCAATGTTTGTTATTTTCTGCAGTAATATGCCTTGTAAATAAATTCCATAAACATTTTCATAATTATGGCTTGTGGATACAAAACAGACATTGCTACAGACTTTTTATGACAAAGAAAATACTAAATTGATTCATCTGTTCTAATTGTCCCTGAAAGAAACAAGTTGAAATTTCACTTAATCAACAAAGAGACGACATTCGGTTACACACATACAACATACATCCTATGACATCATTTATAAACCCATTGTGATGTCTCTGCAACAAGTAATGGCATTTGCAGGCTTAGAACAATTACTATGTGACATCACATTGAGAAATTTTTGAAGGCACTCCTTATCATTAGGAATGCATGAAGAATTGGCAAACAATGTGGCTTTAAAGTTTGTGCTTCTATTTTCTACTCATAATTTCAAAAGAATTTCATGAAAAAGATATCTAAAACAAGTTAACACTAAAACCACAGAGGAAAAAAAATCACCATCGTAATCATAATATAACCATAACAACAAGAAGAAATTTCACCAATAACCATAATATTAAATGTCACAGTAATGACAATAACAAACACCAATGTATTACAGAGCTGTTAGGAAGATTGTCTTTAAGTTGTATTCATAACTCATTAAGATACACACTAGTTCCAGTGAAAAGTTAAATGAATGTGTTACCACCAATCCTCCTGATGCTGATGTGATATAAACTACTCCTTAACACTTTTACTGGGAGGCATATATATTCAAATAGTCTGTAACTTCTAACGTTCAATTTCATTACACTGAAAATTAACCAAGGGGTATAAAGTCAATGACAAAAAATGACCACTTGGTGGTTTTACAATGTAAATTGTTTAGTTTTCATTGGTTAAAATGAGTTACTGACACCTGCGCTATTTCTCAGAGATCAGAACCATACAGTAAATGATATCTGGCTTGTTTTGCGAACAATCTCACATTTATATTTTTCATTGTAATATTTACTTACTACATTAATATCTTTTTGTAAGTAATGAGATTATCACTGAATAATGAGTAAGCTGTGGGTAACATCTGTACCACTAACGCATGTGTGTTGTATAGCCCTTAATATTGATAAGCGTTATTGGTCATGAAGATATCAGGTATGACGTGTTGTGTTCATATCTCAGTAACAGCAGATTGAAAAATACACGTTAGCTGTTTTGGCATGCCCATATCCTCGGACTGTTCGCAGATTCTCAGTTTTAACAGCATATACACATGGCTTCAATATGGAGATTCAGAAAGCAGTCCAGGAGGTTTGTTTTTATGCAAATGTCAACCCACACCTGAGCGAGATAATGATACTGCCATGTTATGCACTAAATTTATGCCAGAATATCATAACATAGAAATACTTTGATGAGTGCTCTTACTCTTGAGTCATTTTCTTCATCTCAGATCCATATTTAATAGCTTAAGGTGAACCGTTTGTCTACACAGTATACCTAAGAGAAGCATAAATGGGTAAGTACCCAGCATTACGGGAATCTAATGTATTATTCTTGTGCTTTTGATAGTCCAGCGTCCCTTATGATGAATCTCTCTTACAAATCCAAGCACTTGGACATTGTAGAAAGTGGTGGCTCAGAATCCAAACAAAGTGCCATTGATCATTAATGAGTCTTTTTAAATGGAGAAAAAAGATGATTGTCAGACATTTCTCTTGGTTTTCATCTGGGCTTTTCTGCCCAATTGTGTCCCAGAATGGCTTTCATCGATAGTTCAAAGCGATCTCCAGTTATGTACTGAAGGGCCGACTTGAGAATTTAAACCTTGTGTACTATTTTCAGGATTCCCCCC